TTATATCCCATTTATTAAGGTCCTTTCCTTATTTAGGATTGATCAACTTATTGAAGATGTCGTGGTAAATCAACGAATTAATACATTACAAAGCTTAAACATTTGATAGCTCAGGAATTACTAAAGTCTTTTATGAAAGATATCCCATCTCTAAAGTCTTTGGATATTTGTTGCGATTTTTCGACAAGAATAGTTCAAAATATACCCTTTTCAAATTTTCCAGGGGCAACAAGTTGTTTAGCAGATTTGTCAAATTTTAAATGTAGTTCAAATTCGTTAATACCTCAAAACTTTCAGAATATCCAATCATTAAATATAAAGTTCATCGAAAAGGTTTCAAATAGGTTGATTCAATTAATTAATTCACAGCATCAATTAAATCATTTAGAATTAAATGCGTACCTGATTAATGTGGATTGGTTTAATATCATACCAGCATTAACAAAGCATGATAACACGTTGACCAAATTATGTATTCATAGTAATAACGATGTACCATTATCATTTGTTTCATCTTTCATAAATTTACAAGAACTGATCATTTCCATTCGAGTTCCATTTGATAGATTCAATGGATTGAAGTATGCTAGCTTTACAAAGTTACGAATCTTCAAAATTCCTCATGAAGTTCCAAAACCTGAAATGTTAATGAAATTTTTGGAAAATAATGGAATGAACTTTGAAGAATTCAGTACAAGCGTAATTTATTCTGACAAATCATTAAATAAATCATTAGTTCGATTCTGTCCGAACCTTAAGAAACTTTCCATAAATTTTGGAAATGATGAATTAGACACGTTGAAATCTATATTTGAACATTGTCAAGGTTTGGAAGGTATTAAGATTTGGTGTCAAGATGATCATAATCATTTAAATGGAAGAAATTTATTGGAAATTGTTGTAAATCACGCACCCAAAAATTTTTACGAGTTAAAGATATACATGAACATAACATTACTTCCAAGTGAATTGGAAACATCCCTTATAAGTTGGAAGAATCGGACACCACAAAAATCATTATCTTTGGTTATTATTTTTGATGAATTTAGTTTAGTAT